ACATATATATAACATACATACGTATATATAAAGAATTCCAACTACCAACTATTTATACCCGTAATTTGTCAATAGTAACTTAATTAACTTTTTTCCAATTTTTAAGCAAAGACGGTTGAGACGAAAAGTTAGTGTCACGAGCTGGATTCGAACCCACGACCTTCGGCAGCCGTGTGTATTTAAAAAAAAGCCATATTACACTCAAAACAAATATGTAAAACAAACACAGACGTTCATACAAAATGTGTGATTTATACAGTTATACAACAGTTTAGAATAGAATACGTCAACGAACCAGACTTGAAAAGTGCCAAATTTAAATCCTTATGATACAAAATTTACCTAATTATTTATCTTTAACATTTATAAGGTTTCGTGGTGCGCATGAACAAATAAATTCTTTTCAATTAATTAAGGCTTTGGTTGAGATAAAAAAGTCAGTGTCACAAGCGGGATTCGAACCCACGACCTTCGGCTATCTACCGCTTGAGCTATCGTGACTTCGATCCACTCGGACACTAACTTCCCATCGTAACCACACCTTTTGAATTTTCCCTCCTTTTTGTCATTTTTCAAATGCCGTGTAATCAGGATTCGATTCTCGGCGACAAATGAAATGGCCACGGGGAGATGTTAGTGAATTGATACTTCATTTTGCTTATTAAATCGATTAGGTTTCGTGGTCCGATTGACCAAATAAATCCTTTTCAATTAATTAAAGCTTTGGTTGAGAAAAAAAGTCAGTGTCACGAGCGGGATCGAACCCACGACCTTCTGCTAAATATTTAACAGGTTTTACCTGTAAATGAATCTTAATCACTAATAATCAAGTCTAAGGAAGTTTTGTTTGTTTTTTTATTGAATAATCACGTTATTATTGTATATTAGGAAATTTAAATTATTATATCTCTTCTTTTGATATTTCGACAAAGATAGATGATAATAGATTTTTTACTGATATTATAAGTAGCTCGTCTCGTTATCTATTTATTCAAATAGAGTTAATAATATCAGTAATTTTATAAATAAATATTGAACCTTTGACTTGATTATCTGTAATTTTTATATATGTTTTAATTTATCACTACCTATAATTTTCCATAAATGTTTGTTTTGGGCGCTTAATTATATTTAAAAGGATCCAGTTTCGAGAGGTGCGTTCATCGCCCCTATAAGAATTTCTTTTTAAATGTATTAATTCACTTTTTCTGACTAATAAATAGCGATTCAGAGCTGATTGGCTCGTTCGGATAGTTAACGAGAGCTATTTTTAGGACCAGCCTCGATAGCACTGCAGGGTTTCTTTTTCCAGTGTGGATGGTCACCTTGAATCCTGTTCCCCTTGAAGGTTCGCCGGTTTCTCATTCGACGCGCAGTCGACTGTGCATCTTCAATTTCCCCTTTTTCCAAATACAAAACAAAACGTGCAATTTTTCAAACAATTCGAACGTTTCCGCGTCGTTAGCGTTGTAAGATGACAAACAGTGTGTTTAAACCCTTCGAATAAACAGATGGGAGAAAGCAAATAATCGGAAATATCAATGTTTGCAGAAATGATTCACTCGGAATTATTTACATCGTACCATCTGAAATATTGAATAATATTTTTTCTCCAATGCCACATGTCGCACTGGGTTTGTACGTTGACTTTTTGATTTCTTATTGATACCTCTTTGCAGCAACCACAATAAACCACTAATGAAATAGTAAGTTTCGATAGCAAATAAACGGCGAAAAACTTATTCTTAGATAGCCTTGCTGGTTACTAGGAGGTTCACAATTTTTCACCAACTTTGCGTATGTTAAATGATAATTAGCATAAACATTAATTTCATACAGTTATGATTTGAAAATGTTTTTTCTTCTTCAATGTCAAACGACACCCTTCTCAAACTAGCTATGAATTTCACCATTATCTTGCTCAAATACATATATTTTTATATTTGATATAAATAAATAGTGGGAATGCGTGAAATGTCGGTGGTCGCATGGTTTAGGCGTTGACAAGGCGCTCATCACTGTAAAGCAAAGGTCCAGGGTTCGAATCCAGCGGCCCTGCATTCGAACCCGACATACTTACAAATGTTTTTTTTTTTTTTTTCAAAAACACCGGCACCCTGAGGGTTTATATGACCTCTGCTGTTACGAACCCTCGTATAACTAATATCATTATTAGATTTAAAAAAAATGGCTAGAAAATATAACTATGCAACTAGTTTAACTGCGAGCAGGAAACTAAAAAAGTTTTACTCGAGATTTTCAATTAGTTATACCACTATAAGATTTTACCCAATACGTGAAAAAATCAAGAATAATACCAGTATTAGTTTGTACACGAAAACTTAAAAAAAGTCAAGACGTAGTATCAGTATTAGATTTTAAACAAAGACTTTAAAAAAACACCAAGAATTAATACCAGTATAAGGTTTTACATAAAAACATTTTTAAAAAATCGAGAAGTAATACCAAAATTAGATTTTACACAATTAGTAAAAAAATTCAAGATGTAATACCAGATAAAAGTATTAGTTTGAACACGAAAATTAAAAAAAAAGTTCAGAAGTACCAGTATTAAGTAAAATATTGTAGTACCAGTATTAGATTTTAAATAAATACTTTTTTTTTTAAAGTCAAGAACAATATCAGTTTAAGGTTTTACACAAAAACATTTTTATAAAATCAAGAAGTAATAACAGTATTAGATTTTACACAATTACTAAAAAAAATCTATAAGTAATACCATTATTAGATTTTATATAAGAAGGAAAACAAATATTCTAGAAGGAATACGGGTATTAGTATTCCTTCACAATAAGTAAAACAAAATTCAAGAAGTACTACCAGTATTACATTTGAAACAATAATTTTTTAAAAATTCAAGAAGTAATAACGGTATTAGATTTACATAAAAACTTTTATTCAAATTCAAAAAGTAATATTAGTATTAGATTTTATACAATAAGTTCAAAAAAGTGAAGAAGTAATGCCAGTATTAGGCGTTGCATAAAAACTTGTTTTTTTAATTTAAGAAGTAATACCAGTATTAGATTTTATACGATAAATTAAATAGAGTCTAAAACTCTAACCTAACAAGCCAAACGAAGTAACCTAGAGATTTTGGATAAACAGTAGTAAAATAGAACTATTCCATTAGTCTAACATGGTCATTACTACTAAAGGATGGTTTCTAGAGATTTTCATGAACTAATACCATTTTATGTATTCCAAAGATTTTTAACGATTAATGCCGCATTTAAGTTAACTAAACTATCGATTTCCGTTGTCACCATTCCGACCGGGATCGTCCTTTTGACCTGGGGACCGCGTCTGTTGAGCCTTCCGCCCTTCAATGGCACCAGAACCCACCTGAATTATTGTGACTTGCGTAGTTGTGAGCCAAATGATATGCCTGTGTCTGAGTGCAATCAGTGTAAATATATTATATTCAACAATTAATCTTTATGTAAGGTATTTATTGAAATAAAAAAGTTAGTGCCACGAGCGGGTTTCGAACCCATGACCTTCGGCTAAATAACCCGGTGCTCTACCGTATTTAGCCGAAGGTCGTGGGTTCGAAACCCGCTCGTGGCACTAACTTTTTTATTTCAACCAATACCTTACATAAAGATTAATTAACTGAAAGAAGTCATTTGATCAATCGGACCACGAAATATAATAGATATTCAACAATGTTCAAATAAAGTATATCTTTAGCCACCATTTATCATTTATTTATTTATTTTTTAGTTTTGTCTAATAATTTAATTTACCACTTTCACTGACATTTCATGTAACCCCCTGTATTCATTAAAATCCTATAGAAAAAGATTACAAGGTAAAAAGGGTATAAACATTTTTATATGTTTTATCTACATTTTCATTGAAGTTTATGTAATGTAATATGACGATTATTGTCGTTATTATTTGTTCATTTCAACTTGTTTTAATTGCGGGGTATTTTATGTTCGGTTGGGTCCCCGCCTTTCTCTTTCTGTTTCATTTTTCTTATTACTTAATCCCTTTTCCGCCTTTTATTACACATTAAGAAAAAAGTTTCTTCGGTTTTCCCTTCATCTCGTTTTGCATGTTAATCCGAGAAAGTCACGACGTCAATAAATCAAAAGTAGACAAACGTCGCCGTGTGTTTTTATTCGAAACGACCCGACGGTAAACAATCTCAAGAAGGGCCGAGGTAGACAATGAATTGGATTTCACTTTTAGGGCGTGCCACGTCGGCATTGTTTAAGCTTATTGTCCGCCCTGATGAAAAGGAGACAATGTACTTTTCTAATTATACGTGTGATTCGGTCAGAAATGGGTTATTAGGATTCCCGACCGTCCTTCCTCGTAACGTCCACAGGGCGGCCTAGTTTACCGATCGAGAATGACATGATGAAGATTTATTGGGTTAGCATTGACCGCACATCAATAAAAAATGTCCTTATCACGTATGCAGCCATGGAAACAAATAGAAATCTGATGTGTTTACAACAGGGGCGGACCATTTCAAAGAAGGACCAAGTGGCCCAGTGCCTAATTCCTTGTGCTTCAGGAATTTTAGTTATTGACTATTGACCAGATCTTGGTTTTATTTATTTCCTTTGACCATCGTTTTCCTGGAGTACATGGTGCGAAAAGACTTTCTTCGAAGTACACGACTACAATGGGCCAGCGTGAGACACGTGGCTCCCATGGTCTTCCGATAGCTATCACAATGAGCGTAGGCCGTCTACTTTCCTAGAGATATTTACATTAATTACAGTTAATGACTCCAAGGCCCAAGGCTCACCCACGCTGGAGAAAATATTACTTCGAATCCGAAATATGATAATCCTCCTAGGTTTATCATTCTTTTCTGTTTTTTTTTTTTGTTTTTTATCCCTTTTGAAAAAAGCCGACGGCTATTATTTCACCGAGGCGTTGAATTTTACGTTTGTTCTCCTTTTGTCTTTCAAGAATGATTTGGTTTTTAATTCTTTAATTTGGTTTTTGTTTTTCAGAAATCGAAGCGAGCGAAGCCTGCCAGTGGTTGAGGGCTGCCGGCTTTCCACAGTATGCCCAGATGTACGAAGGTGAGTTGTGACAAATTTTTTAAGCAAAGTCCAATCTGATCAATAATAAATAGTACACATCAGACAAATTTGATTGCGATATTAATTGGTAATATTTGTACAATATGAAGCACTGATAATAAATGTATATAATTTTATCAGTTACATACTGTTGTATCTATAATAAATAATAATAAAGTTTATATGCCGACAAACAGCTTAGGTCATCGCCGGCCCTCTGCGTGTTTTCCTTTTTTTTAGCGTTTCGATCTGGTTACTGACACTGATTTCAAATATATACTACGTTGATATTCTAGAATGCTAGTCTCTCGTTTGTACCTCAGGTTGTCAAATACAGAATAGAAACAAAACATGTAATACATATATCACCACAAACATTAGTGTCTGGACACATTCATTCCCCCAGAGTACTCGATATCCCTCGGGGCGGGGTTATAAGCAACCCCTTTCTTTCACGCTAATAAATTACTTTTGCTCTCCAGACGTCATACACTCACCCCACAGTACTCGATATTCCTCCGGGCGGGGTTATAAGCTACCCCTTCCTATCCCGCTAATAAATTACATTCATTACAATAAATTAAGACAACACTCGATAGAAACATAGAAGTCTGGTTACATTCACTCCCCGAGAGTACGCGTTATTCAATTGGGCGGGGTTAAATCACCCCTTTCTTTCATGCTAATAAATTACACTCATTACAATAAATTAACATACAGTCAAACACAGACAGAACACAAACACACATAACAAAACTATATACATTTAAAAATCCCTTTATCCTTGAGGTACCGGAACAGCGATCTGTGCCAGCTGCCGTGCTCCAAGACTACGCACAAGTCCGATGATATGCCAAAATATTGTCTATATACATCAAGCCTTCTACAATTGAAGAGGTGCTCGACCGTTATTCTGTTATGGAAGATTTTTGGAAGATTCTGCGTATTTTTCGCATACAAGACCACATGCTCGACCGTCTCCAGCATGCCATCCTCGCACAATGGACTGTCTTTCAGTCCAAACCCATGGAGCTTGGCTGAGCAGTCCCCATGCCCCGATAACTTGACTACCTAACTGGGATATGTAATGGTCCATCTTCATAAAAGTAATGCCCAAGCGTCTCTCTATGTTGCCGAACAGCCGATATTTTATGTTATGGTAATTATTGATTGTTTTAATCACCAGAAGAAAAATTGCGCCCGTTCTCGTAAACCAAATTCTCTACCAAATGAACTGTTTTTACCGACAGGTGCAAAACACACACATTAGACCAAAAAATTTGATGTTATTGATTATTTAGATATGTAGTATATGCGTAACACTAAAGCCCCGACCTGTAATACTTTTTGTTAAGAAATTAACCGCTGAACGTAAAAAAATTTAAGCGGAACTGGGTCACCTCTCTTTGTTCTTTCAGGCACGAATCCGGGCCAGGTGAGTATTCCGTCTCGCATTCACAATGTCCCTCCTGGCTTCGTTAACAATCTCGAGGCGGAATCTATAACCTAAACGGAAGAACGATGATGCATGGCGGTTATAAAGTGATGGGGATAAATGAGTGATAGGATGGTCGGAGTTTTCCGGAGCCGCAACGTGAGAAATGTTACCAGACCCCATTAGCAGGAGAGCGTCGTCGTTTTCAGACCCGGCAACTTTCCATCTCCGACGCCGCCTCCATTTACAAAATCTTCCCTCTAAATAACGCACAATAACGTCAATAATCAGTCAATATAACGGTTTGGTTTAAAAAGTCGACAACTCTCACATTCTCCACAGTTGTTCCTCTTTCTACCGATCTCCCACTCTCGCTCACTCTCTCTCTCTCTCTCTCTCTCTCTCTCTCTCTCTCTCTCTCTCTTTTATTTTTCTCTCTCTCTCTTTCTCTCGCTCCTCCCTGCCTCTCTCAATCTAGCTATTTATCTATCTATACCTTTCTTATCTCTGTATCTCTTCCTCTTCTACCTGTATCTCTCTCTTTGAGTGTGAGAGAGAGAAAGAGTTACAAAAAGGGGAGAAAGATTCAAATTAGGAAATGGAAAGGAATGTATTTATCTATCTATATCTTGTTTTCTCTCCCTCCCTCCCTCTTTCATTCACACTCTCTCTCTCTCTCTCTCTCTCTCTCTCTCTCTCTCTCTCTCTCCATCTTCTCTTCTCTTCTCTTTTCTTGTCTTCTCTTCTCTTTAATTCAAACACACAAATAAAACAGAAATATGTATAAGCCTTTAAGTTTATAATCCAAACAAACCAACTAATTGGCTATCCATTTTAGAGAAACCAGAATATCAGATGGCCGAAGTAGCCTGAAACGCCAAAGAGGAAAACAATTGATTTCTTCCAATCCTTAATCCCCGGCTGGATATCGGCGCTCTTTCCGATAAAATTCCCCTCTATATTTAGCAAACGGTTTGCCAGTATATCTAAATTAAATATTTTAATTGGTCTAGAGATAAGTATTGGAATATAATTGACAGACGAACGTATCTCACGAGACGATAAAGCCAGAAGTTTCGGGAAAATCCATGCGATCCAGGAAAATTTTAAAAATGGAGGTGAATGTCCGTAATTGTTTTTTTTATCAAATCAATTGTTATAGTAGTTTTTTTTCCGGCGATCGACCAAGTAGACTAAGATCGCAGGGAGGGTCGGATGACGGAATTGGTGATGTAGGTAAACACAGGTTATGTAAATAAGTGCGAGTGAAAGATCCGGATTATCCTAGGCGGTCTTCATTGCATTAATCAAAACCGTTTGCCTTTCACCGCGATCGGGAGGATTAATCCTCGTCCTCCTCGATAAGGGAAACACCCGACGGCTAAATAAAAAATGAAAAAAAACCCTGTCGCCGTTTTAATTTACGACGACTCGCCCCGGGCGCATTGTTATCGGGGCTAATTTAATGTTGTTCCTTTCAACAGCTTAATAACAGATCCGACGTAGAACGGGAGGGCATATGGACCGCTTCTGACCCTGTTAGCCGAGAGAGCGAAAGTGTTCCAGTCATTACTGGACCGCTGCCTACTTTTTCGACAGAAGGTTTTTAACAAGAAAAGACATTTTTTTTCAGCGCGACAAAAAGAGTCATAAGATAAAACGAGGTTTTGTTGTAAGGAGTATACTAGAAGAGCAAGGTTTTAAATTGTATCAGTTTTATAATTAATACTTATTATAATAATTAATTTATAATTTATTCTGGAGTAAACTTACAACCGTACTATAAACAGGACATCATCCTACAAAGCATGTCGGGAACACACTTACCCGATGCAACGGTACTACCGAAGTAAAGTTATATCTGTGTGCACATGTCACTTTCAACGACAACCACTTTGCTTTCATTTAAATAAAAACTGAAATGTTGTGAAAAGTGCTGAGGATGGCAACGTGATGATCATGTTTACTTTCGCTTTCGCTTTTGTTTGTCTGATAAGGTGATCTTCACTGGTTGGCCTGCGTGGTTTTTGTCAATCATCTGTTTATATAGGTGCGTTAGTTAAGCGGGAACACACTTACTCGATGCAACGCTATGCGACGCTACCTGATTCTACTCGACCCCTTGCCACGTTTTGGTAGGGTGTGCACATCTATGCGACGTCAAGCTCACGCCACATATAGTCACACAGGGTATATCACATAAATCAGTATCACAATCGCAACGCCTCTTTTGTTCTTAATGCACTATTTTGAGAAAACCATGATATCAATTGTCAGTTAATTTTTTTTAAATAAAATTATTCCGGTGTTTTGATAAATTTTCATAATTAAATAATTTTTATAAAAACTAATGAATTTTTAATCTCAGTTAATTTGGTTTTATTAAAATAAGAATGTTGTAATTAATATAACGACCAAATTACATATACATAGTTTGAATAAACTGCAAAAAATATGAGTGTCCTGTTCTGACGCTGCTCTACGAAAATAGTGTAATCGTATAAGCAAAACCATGAAAAAGATTGTTAGTTCAATTTTATGAGAAAAACTATGAAATGAATTCTTAGTTCAATTTTATGAGCAAAACCGTGTAATAAATTGTTAGTTCAATTTTATGAGCAAAACCATGAAATAAATTGTTACTTCAATTTTATGAGCAAAACCATGAAATAGATTGTTAGTTCAATTTTATGAGCAAAACCATGAAATAGATTGTTAGTTCAATTTTATGAGAAAAACTATGAAATGAATTCTTAGTTCAATTTTATGAGCAAAACCGTGTAATAAATTCTTAGTTCAATTTTATAAGCAAAACCATGAAATGAATTGTTAGTTCAATTTTATGAGCAAAACCGTGTAATAAATTGTTATTTAAATTCATTATATCCAAAAATGGTATTCCAGTGTTTTAATCATTTTTCTACCAAACCATTAAAAAAAATTTTTTTAAATAAAAACTAATGAATATTTGATCTCGGTTAATTTGGTTTTTACTGAAATAAATATGACGTAATATAACGACAATAATACATGTAGTTTGAATAAAAATATGAGTGTCCGGTTCTTTTGTCTTCGACTGTACTCGATGTTACACGACGAAAATCTGGGCAGTGGGGATCACAGAGCGTAGAGTAGGGTAGCATAGCATCAGGCAGATGTGCACAATACAATCTTATTGAAAAATAGACTTTGGATTTGCGTCGAGTAGCGTCGCATAGCGTTGCATCGGGTAAGTGTGTTCCCGGCTTAAGGCTGAAAGGATATAAAACGATCTCAAGGCCGTACACTGCGTTTGAAATGCTGCAGGCTAGAACACATCCTTTGATTTAGAAGGTATATCCTGAAACATCCCGAACTAGCAACCTATTAAAAAAAACTGATTAGTATTACTCCACGTTCCTATTTGTTTCGTTTTTAATTCGTCAGAAGAGTCAAACAACATATTTTTATCTGAAGAGTATGCTGGTGGGGTCAAATCTATAAAATAGCACTTCTATCATCCCGGAGTTTAGTTGCGCATGAAAACTTTATATAACTGTCCTATAAAATAGGACATACATTCTAA